GCCACTACTAATAAGTAATAAGTAGATGGTTGCTGGTGTGGTTTTGCGTCAAGTAAGAACACCTCATGGACAGTGTGCAATATTAGTGTACAAAACATCTAATGAACCTTCAAAAGTGCAAAAGTGACCCAATCAACAAGTCATGCATCTCAAAAAGTTAAATGTAAGTCCTCAGGAACATTAGAATAACATTAACATAGCATTGCATGTAAACCATCCTCGTGTGTAGTACCAGATAGATTAACAAGAGTACAAATAGACCTCTTCAACTAATTAACTGGTAGGCACTGGAACGGCTGCACATATCAGATAATCTGACCTGCTAAATGCTGACATGACTAAACATGGACTGCATCAGTCTCTCTTCTCCTCTTAGCATTAAGAGTTATTAAATGAAAAGTATGTAGAGGTTGAGAGTTTGTTCCATGATTCAGTGAAAAGTCATGATTGCCAGTGTGCTGTTTCTCTCACTGGACATTAGATACTCTTTATGTCAGCAATTAAAAGGTTTTTTCCACTATGCTTAACGTCATTTCATCCCCAACGTTTCACGCTTCATTTTTAATCATTACAAAACTGTGATATAAAGCATCACAAAGAAATGCTTGATGCAATTAAGGGTCAAGGTTTTGTTTGTTAGCATGGCCCCTCAGCCCCTGCTTGTAGATGCTGTAACTACACCATATTTCTCCACTGATGGCCATTCAAATTTAGCCATGTGTGATGTTTTGATGTTGTATCAGTGCATTGTAATATTGACTTCATTTATTTAACGCCTCATTTTTGTGTCTATCTGTTGCTTTTGACATCACGGCTGGATAAACGCCAGTAAACAGTTTGGGATTGTACAGTGTGTCCATTCGTCATCCAATCAGTACTGTGGCCACGTCATTTTGCTGTGGCTCTAGAGTGATTAGTCACGTGGCTTGGCTGCAAAAACAAGTTCTCATGAGCAAAGACGCCAGATTTCATATGCATACTTTTATGGGGTTCCACACCAGCCCCAGCAAGGCGGATAGGCAGGCAGATAAGTTTCTCCAGGTATTATAACTTCCTTGGATTTAATATATAAATGTACTGTGTTTTGTGTTATTTTTATTAATGCTAAATATACAGTAATTCTGTTCAGATTCTGTCGGTTTTGAAGCAGCCAGTTTTCCTTTGTCAAATTTTTGCTTCATAATACCTTTGCAGCTGTTTGACTGTCAACTATATGAGGAACTGAAAGGCACAAAAAGAATTCATTTGCATGAACAAATGACATATTTCCTTTGAAATCAAGCAATATAAGAATGTCAAAACTTGAACCTTTCCAGTATGTTAGCACTAGGTTATTGTACTTTTAAAAATACATCGTTTTAATGCTTACTCTTTAACTCTTGAGTCGTGAACCTAAATAATTATCAACCACTTTTAATACTGCAAAGACTTCTAACGTCACTAATTAAGCAACATATGGACCGTATTCAGAAGACAAGCTCAACTGACAGTGCAATCTTGTGCAGGAGCAGGATTACCTTGTTTCTAGGAAGCCAGCAATGTTTTAGACTTAATCCAGCTTTTCCCAAGAACACTTCATAGAGGTCATAAACTGATTCCTTCGGCCACTATGTGGGAAGCTGTAAAAGTAAACAAGCTCATTGGCCCACATGTAAATGCTTTACCGGACGGACACAATTGAACTCTCTGTGGTGAACTCGAACAGCACAGGGAAATAAGGAAGTAAGCAATAGGAACATTAGCCAGAAAGGCCAGTCGTGGGGACTGCAGCTCAAAGACTGACGGGAAATAATGGCATTCTTGTGAAGTGTCGGCTTCTATTTTTAAAGTCTGATTGGACGCGAGATGACTGAGCTTCCTACATCACAGATGGAATCAGAGGGCCAGAATAACCTTCCATATCAATGATTAGATTACCGCAACCAGCCGAACAGCGGATACAGGTAAAATGTCAGTGTGCCACAAGCCCCCGTGCATTGCTTTTCTCAAGAGGCTGTGTTCTGATTAAATTAGCCTAACGTGGGAAGTTGCTAATCCGAGCCAACCCAGGATTAAGCCTGCAGGCCATCGAGAGTACATGGGAGAATGTGTGTTTGAGTGTGGGCTGCTGAGTGGGTGGTGGATAACGAGGGTTTGTGGAGAACAAATAAACCTTGCAGAACATGAGGCTAACAAAGATTCTCCTGTAATTCCGTTTTGTCTTAATTCATCATGTGTTGTCTTGTATAATATCAAATGAAATGTGTATTAATAACAAGCAAAACACGCTTAATTTGGCTGATGTGTTGGGTGAATTCTGTAGAGCTTGCTCTCAGTTTCCATAAAGAAGTGCTTATGAGAAATTTTTCAATTATAATGTGGTCAAGCGCTGCAGGTGGCTACTTATGCAAGACTATACAAATGTGATATCCTACAATGAAACTAAGGCCTGGAACAAAAGTTGCAATATTGTGATTATATACCTAGAATACCTGCATCAGTGGGCTCAGGATTAACTCAGGATTAACCACTTGAAGTAATGAGAAAGCTGTTATTTACATCACATATGCTATATGATTTTAAGAGCGATGTTAAGTGCGTCATAATTTATACAGCAGTTATTTTCGGTCAACAAATCATTGGCAGAGTGGCTCGGTATCTGGAATACTTGATTCTCATTGGTTAATTGCGGGTCAGATATTCGCTGTCATCCATAGCAACGTTCGTACAAACTCAGTATAAACTCTATACGTCTCAGTAATCGATTGCGACAGTAGTGGAAAATTACCTCAGAAGACAGCTATTTCAATATTTCATGTCGATCTATTTATTTATTTGGTTGAGTAAGCCTGATAGTGTACAGTCAGAGGTCAATATGGCAAAACACAGATTGCCAAGTCTGCATATTA